TGTGATGTGTGGATTTGGCTGGATCACAGAGAGCACAGCGATTTGGTAAATATTATTCCTGGGTGTGTCCATGAGGGTGTGAGCAGATAAAATCAGTATTTGAACTGGTTGACTTGGTAAATCGGACTGTCTTCCTAGTGTGGAGGACACACTGAGTGCCTGAAGTAGAACAAAAGGTGGAAAGAGACTTTATCCAGTCTCAGCTTGAGCCAACAAAATGGTCTTTTCTACCCTCACTTTGGCCATTACACCAATGGCTCCCTGGTGCTCAAGCCCCTGACTTAACTTACTCAAGTCACAGGTTTTCCTGGATCTCCAGGTGACAGACAGTGCATTGTGGACATGGAACTTCTTAATTCCCATGACTATATGAGAAAAATCACTCATAACACATCTCTCCTAATAAATACTTCAATAAGATATATATGTACATATGCATGTGTACATACTATGTGATATTTTATCATTATAAATACTAATAAACTCATTGATAATAAATATATAATAATAATAATAATATTTATATACATTAGTGGTATCATGGTTTGAACCTGAGGAAATACAGAAGCCCCTGACAATCAAATGAAGTAACTATAATAATTTATTTCTGGGTTGTGGGCTCTTACTCCAGGCAGAGTTTGGGATGATCTTTGGTTTATTATGTGTGTCAGAGGCTCATGTAATGCAAAAGCCCCTGGGGTCTTAGCAAATAGCCTCTCTGAAGTACAGCCACACCAGCTACTGTCCCCAGTGGTCTCTGCAGGTGGGTACTGCAATGTGACAGCATTTGATGTCCTTGCATTCTCTTTGAAGGCTGCTCAGGACTTCTCCAAGCATGCTACTCTTGGATGAGAGAACAGCAGTGTGTGAATTAGTTTTATACTACCGTGACTGAAATACTTGAGAGAACAACTTAGAAAAAGGAGGATTTCTAGGGTTCACAATTTCAGAAGGTTCAGTCCCTGGTGGCTTTGCCCTTTGCATTTGGGTAGAGCGGCATGGGGGGCAAGAGTGTGTGGCAGGAGAGGCTGTTCATTTAATGACAGAAAGCAGAGAGCAAGGAAGGGACCAGGGCCCAAGAAACACCTTCAGAGATACATCATCAGTGACTACTTCCTCCTCTTAGGCTTCAACTCCTGTTTTAGAGCATCCCCAGAATACTACCAGCTGGGCACAAGCTTTCGGGGACATTTCATGTGCAAATCATAAGAATTAGGTTTAACACCTTGCCAATGCATGCAGTGGTGACCAGAGTTTTGCTTGGACAGATAGCAATGTCATTCCCTTTTCTATTTTCCCTAGAGAGCTTTGATGTATTGCCATTGAGGTTTGTTGGCTAAATGGCAGTTGGCTGTCGGTATTTCCTGTTACCTGTTGCCTGATGGGACATCTTCACGCTACTTCATTTTGTCCCTTTCATGTATTTCTAGTGAATAATACCATCAGGATCTGCTCTGGGTACTGAAGATGCAGGTTATCACCTGAATAGGACTTGAATTTCCCTGGGGTGGGCATAAGCTGGATCCACAGTGGGGTTTAGGGCTGAGCTCCAAGCACCCATTGGACAACTTAGTTGAGAATTCCCTGCAGAATGGGGACAAAGAGGAAAGTCCTATCTCTCTATCTGACACATACCAACAGTTCTTTGCTGTGCAATATGGTAGTCATCAGCAGTATGTAGATTGTAAATTTAAATCAATCAAGATTAAGCAGAATTAAAGCCTCAATTCTGGGCTGGGAATGTGGCTTAGTGATAGAGTGTTTGCCTAGCAGGCATGAAGCCCTGGGTTTGAGTCCTTAGCACCACATAAACAGAAAAAGCCAGAAGTGGCACTGTGGATCAAGTGGTGGCGTGCTAGTCTTGAACACAAAGAGGCCCAGGAACAGTGCTCAGGCTTTGAGTTCAAGCCCCAGGACCAGCAGAAAAAAAGCTTCAATTTCTCAGTGGCAGTGGCCATATTTCAAGTGTTCAATAGCCACAGATGTTGTCTGGTGTCTACAAGACTGAAGAAAGTGGCAGGAATATTTACTTTATGGCTGACAGGTCTACAAGACATGGCAGATATGCTTGCTGAAGATAATGGTATCATCTGCCTCCCATGCTGGGAGAATAACTGTGTAGGAAAAATGCACCTAAAACACATAACACTTATCACATGTACACATTTAATAAATGGGATTTACTATTTTTATCCATGAAATAAAAGTTCTCTTAAGAGGGCCACTCTGATTTGATTCAGGGAACTATACAGATGTCCTATATACGGGTGTAATTCTCAGCATTGGCTCTTATTGAAACTGGGGGTCACAAAAGCATTGAAAGAGATCAATTGGGTCTCAAGTCTTCTCATTGCAGGGCCATTACAGAACCTGAACAGGGTGAGGAGAGGGCTTGGAAATTCTTGACACAAAACCTCTAGTGAATCTGATTGTGAAGAAGCTTCTACTTATAATCAAGATTTCAACAGGAGAATAGCTTGAATTAATTTTGAGAGAGACAAGAGGAAGAGAAGAGAGGAGAGGAGGAAGAGAAAGAGAGACACACATACACCCAGAAAAAGGGGTTCAGTGGGAAAAAGTTTTCTGTTCCAAAGCACAGAAATCTGAGCCCAGCAATTCTGCTTCACACTTATTATTGAATCTACCAAATGGAGCCAACTACCCCAGATAGAACGTTTATGGTGGTTTAGCAGTTGCCTGGAGTATGAACTTTGTTACTCTCTAGAAAAGGCCAGAATGTATAGCTGGCCAAGGGAGCCTGGATGCCTCCTTAGCCATTGTATGTTAAAGTTTACAGTGCAGATAGACATGGGATTCAGATAATAAATGTGTTTGAACACTCTTGTGATCATTCTCTTAGACCTCAAATGCTTTCTTCGGGCTCATATGTTTCCTTGTAAGTCTTTGTTAAAGTTGGCTGATGGGTGGAACAGAAATTCTTGGATCCTAAAAGCCCAAGAATTTGGGGGCTTTTTTTGTCCCCTTTGCCATCCCCCCTAATTAATTACAGAAAAAATAGCTAGTGTTTAGTAAGTACTCACAATGTGCTAGACACAATTCTAAGTATAGCACTGATATTTACTTCTTAAAATAACCACATTGAGTACTACAGGTATTATATTTATTCTCAGTATTTTTCACATAAAAGTGGAAATAAAGGCAGAACATACACAAAAAGTGATCTACTCTAGAGAAATTGATTCCTGGTAGAAAAGTCTATTGGTACATAACATATTATTGGCAAGGCAGACCCCAGAGTAAGACACAATTATAAAGAACACAAAGGATACAAAACAAGAGAAGACACATGGAAAGCTCTAGAAAGTAACATATAAATGTTAGTATTGCCAATGTGAAAAGGAACACATAGATTAGAAAGAAGGCTGGAATGTAAAATAACCTCTGATAGGTAAGTTGGAGGCTAAGGAGAGTGTGGGAAGAAGAATATGGCCTCTAGCTATTCTAAGTTGATTCCTGGAATGACTTTATATAAATTATTTCACTCTGTTTGTCTCTATTTCTCCTTGCTCTCAAAAGACATCACCAGTTAAGATGTTCCTGGAATTAGTTACCAAAACATTCTCAACCTTTTCTAAATAGAAATGGTATAAATTCCTCAATATTATAAATATAGTCTCACATCATTGCTCAGCACCTTGGGGGAAAAAACCTGACCACTTTCTAAAAGAATCTCCGCTTTTGAAAATAACAAAGGGTAGAAAAGAACCCTTCAGAATTCCTTTGAATGGAATTCTCTGCTTCAGCTTTCCATAGGAGCTAAAGACCAGAAAAAGTGATCTCAGTTCATAACTTCCTGCAAATGGCTGAAGTGGGATGCAAAAGACTATAGCACCCCAGCTTTCTTGAAGCAGCATTCTAAGCTTCACCAACCCTTTCATTCATCAGAGATACAAATCCTTCTTGACTAAGGCTATAAATTGATATCTTGAGTTCTGCCTTCCTACAGGTGGAACTGGGTTGGCCATCCGGAGACTAGACAGGACTGTTGGGGTCTCTGAACTTCTTACGAGGCATTATCAGAAAACAGCCTTTCTATATAACCTGACCTGGCATTACAGAATCCATTCTCCGAGACTACTGCGATGGCCCCATCACTCACTCACTAGACTTCATACTGTTTTCCTACTGGCACCTTTTAGAAGAAGGAAGAAGAGGTCTGGGCTTCAAGATCCTCAAAGAAGTTCCTTATCTAGCTCCTTAAGAGTCTGGAGGAGACTGAAAAGCTGGAGTCGGCTAAGAAATTTTCCATGGAGCTTCTGGCTCTAAAACTGAGATATTTCTAGAAGTTAGACCAACAAGTCTAATTTTATTACAAATGGAGTTGGAGTCCATCTTCTGATCTGGGAGTAAAGAGGTGTGGGGAGGAGGGTTGGAGTGGTTTGGTAGCTGCCCTGCAGAATCTTCCTAATTTTACAGTAGACATCTGAAATTACTTTATGGGTGATCACGTTTTCTTTACAAGACGGAATATAAAAGAGGGAGGACTAGGCAATTATTTAAATTCCTCCTGTATTATGAGTGAATGGCATGATATATTCCCTTTGAGTAAATTCTAATAGGGAAGTAGAAAAGAACATAAAGACTCTGATCCTTGAAGAGAATAAAGGGTGGCAGGCTGATAGATGGGCTCAATTACAGAGGTGGAGGGAATCTGAAGACCAACTACTGCAATCTCTGCACCCAGGGCTTCTTTTCCAGGGATAGAATTGAGAAGCTTTAGTCATGTGTTTGGTGTTTCCGCTGGGTTAGAACCAAGGGCCCTGGTCCTGGTTTCTGCCATAGTCTAGTCTTTCTATCCTTCTGGGTACACATGGCACTGTGACAGAGGGATAAGATGAATTTCATGCTCCTTCCATTTTCGTTTGGGGCATCTCTTGAGTCGGGTCTCAGACATAGCTGCCTTTCTTTGGAAGGTACCAATGCTTGCAGAAGGGGCCAGCATTGATTTGTGTTGGAGGGGAGGGGTCCTGTTTACTCACCATTGGTCGCTTCCACTGCAGGTTGGAAATGTTTTTTCCCTGGAGCAGCTTCTGGCCTATGGATGAAGCCTCAGCAGGGAATGTCTCATCCACAAATGGCAAGCCTCTGCTTAGGCAATGATCCCTCAAGGAGGTAAAGTCCTGATCCTTGAATCTGACCACAGAAGCCTCTGTTGATGGCTCTGGTGTATTTGCCATGTCTTTCCTTAGAAAGAGGCCTGGAGTCTTTTCTTTCTGGTGAGAGATAAAAGAAAACATTTATTTTTTTTAAAGGGGTGAGCAGTCAGGTCTTTGTGTCAGTAGATATGAGCCCTGCGATGGTACTGGAATGTCCCCACCTTTATAAGTGTGTGCTGGGGGAGGGAGCGTGTGGGAACTGAGATGTGATTTATGCTGTTCCTGACACAGCCAGTGGGCGGGCAAGCTGGATCTACATCTTGGCATCCTTACTTCCAGTTCAGTGTTTGGTCCACTGTGTCAAGCAACTTCTCAGTGGCTTCTCCTGTGCACGAGAGGCTCTACAGGGGTATCTGTCCATTTAATGACCATGTATTGAGCACCAGCTTGGTATCAGGCCATTCTTTTGAATGCCAGCAATTCAAAGACAAATACAACATGATCTTTATCCCCTAGAGGCTCATTATCAAGTGGGAAGAACAGATCAGACATTTCAACAACCAGCTATCATTCAAGAGAAAGGTTCAATTAAAAATGTGTACAAATTCCTATGGGTATAAAAAGGAGGATCTCTGAGCTGTGTGGAGCGACTACATGATTCCCTCGACTCTCTCACAGGCAGTGATGTTTGAATTAGGCCTTGAAGGACAGGAGGAGAAATAATGTGTAGCTTTTAAAAATAAAAATAGAGAAGTATCTGTAGCTCTGTCAAACATCAGGAGGCCCAAGGTTTGGGTTGGCAAGGTAATGAACAGGGAGCCATTGGAGGGTAGGTGGGGTTGGATTTGGAGATGGTGCTGGGAGAGAAGGCTGAGAAGCGGGTTGGAAAGCTGGATTAACATGATTTTTTTTCACTGTTTTACTCTGTTCATGCTGAAGGCTTATGGGGTGGAGCCAATCAGGATGATTCTTCTTAGAGCAAGTTAGGGGCAAAATGGGGGTAGGGATATAGACAGTAGGGAAGCAGGGAGCAACTAGAAGATTACTGCATCTGTCCACAAGACAGACAGGGGCAAGGAGTCTCTGGTGAAGTTGGCAGAGAGGAGACGGATCCCAGAGTCTCTATTATAGGTAGGATCAATAGCATTCAATAATGAATAGAACAGGAGGGCTTGGGGAGGATGCAAAAGCACATTGGGCATGGGTGGCCCGTGCCTGTAATCCTAGCTTCTCTCTGGAGACTGAGATCTGAGGATTACGGTTCAAAGCCAGCCCAGACAGGAAAGTCTGTGAGACTCTTATTGCCTTAACCAAAAAAAAAAAAAAAAAGAAACTGGAAGTAGAGATGGGGCTCAAGTATTAGAGCACCAGCTTGGAGTGTAAAAGCCAAACAAGAATGTGAAGCCTTGAGTTCAAGGTCCAGTACTGGCTCAAAAACAAAAAACACAGTTATTTGGATAGCATAAACTCATAGTGTGGTGAACAGTAACATGGGTTTGAAGTTTACTTTCTACCATGTACCTATCTATCCTACAGCATTGGTCTAGAATTCAAGCTTACGAACCTATTCTCTATCTGAATGGATGGGTCATCCCAACCTCATGGGGTCTGTTCAAATACTAAATGAAGTTTGACCTAAGACACCAAGCAGAATGGCTGGGGTATGGCAGACATTTGTTAAGTGTTAATGTCTAATTTCCCTACAGAGACATCTAGGAAAGCTTGGACTTCTTGTTCAGGTAGTAGTTGACATGTAATTGATGTCATTTACCAAAACCCATCTGTGAGGCTGGCTTACATCTGAATCCTGTACTCACCTAATAAACTATGGGACTTAGAAAGCTCTCTTGGGCTCTAAAGTAAAGCATTTTTAAAAACTTGCTGGTACCATGGCTTGGGTACTGTCCCTTAGCTTTTTCATTCAAGGTTAGTGAACCCCCATGGCTCTACATACAGCGTTTTCCTGGTTAGAGTTAAGAGTTTTACAGATGTTCCTCCCAGGCTGACTTTGAACCATGATCCTCATATCATAGCCTCCCGAATAGCTAGAAGTATATGTGTAAGCCACTAATTATTGGCTAATGTAGTGCCTTTGAAGCTTTGTTGGCTAAAGTCTACTTAACACAACAGACCACCAAGTTCTGCATGTCCTCCAATTACTACTTTATAATGAAAAATGAATCAGGTGCTAAAGAAGGAGAAAACAAAATAGATAACTTTTAAGGAATGAATATGAGCTGGCAATCAAGATTTTGAATCCCAGAAAAACATATGCAAACTTAAAATAACTTAGCAATTATCTTGCAGTTAGTCTATAATGGTATGTGGCAAATTATTTGGATAGCACAAACTCTTAGGCAGAATATCACCAATTAAATATCATTATGAAGCTTATTGGGAGAAAAATTGTACTTGTGATTGTCTTACAAAGCAGATACGAATGAGTTACATTTGAACTATCAAAGTATATAAAACTGGCAGAGTTATGTATCAAAACATAGTTGAATATAATCATATTCATGTGGCTTAACCTAAGATTTAAAAGTGGTTAAACACAGGCAGTTTCATTTGCTTTTTTACCTAATAATGATATGTGTATTTCTTCAATCAAATTCTCAAAGACAACAGGCCAAAATATTCAATATGCCTTAGACTCACAACGGGGTTACTTGGAGAGCATACGACAAATTAAATAAGCAGTGGTACAGCAGAAATAACAGCAAGCTGTCATTCAAGAACAAGAAAACAGTGATAGAAATTGCCTGTCAATTCCACACAAAGGCAGTGACACCTGGTAATGAAGAGTTGGGAAATTGTGGGTTTGCCAACAACAGTGCGTGCTTAGAAACAGGACCAACCTAGGATTGCTCCGCCTCCTGACTCTCTATCAAATATCCACTAGGAATGTGTGGTAAACTGTAGCAATAAGCTAATTGCAGTTTAGGAAAACCAAACACAATCATGGGACTGCTTATAGGGAGCTCTTAATTGCATATAAAACTGAAAGTCGAAAGAATCATGCTTCAGATCTCCCTCCGAATTGTGAAGAGGTTTCACATGTGGGGTTCAGCAAGTTCCCCGGCACATTTGGAGGGTCCCTACTGCCTGTGGCTGGGAAATGGGTACACCAGTCTTTAGGAAGTCGTGTTCTAAGATACGCTATCCTCATTTGTAGCTCAGACATGATAATATTACCTACATCAATTTGGTTGTTGGGAGACTTGGGAAGAAACCACGCTTGTAGAATAGTTCATGGTCACTATGTAATGTTAACATGTTGACCATGATCATTTTGAGAACAGAAAGAGGCCCAGCATCCTCTAAGATAAGGACTCACTCTCTAGGAGAAGCTAGGAACCCCGGGAAGAACAAGACAGGGGAACACCAGGCAAGTACTTTGCTGGAGGAGATGGGGATGTGTGGCTCTGGGGGACAATCTTGATGGAGAATAGAGAAGGCAGGCAGGGAAGTAGTCTTCCTTAGCCTACACACACACACACACACACACACACACAGCCACACACACACACACACACACACACACACACACACACACATGTCCCTAGTAGTTTTCTGAATTGTTTGCCTGTACCCCTGAAAAACAACAAGAACAATTTTTCCCACTTGTCATTTTGGAGAGGCTTTTTGGTCTCTTTCCTCTCTTCTCTCCCCTGCTCATCTCAATTTGTAATATATACAAAGGCAAGAGAAGACTCAGATGCTTTCACTGAAGAAAGAAAAACAGTGAGGGATGAAAGGTCTTCTTGCTGCTCAGGTCAGTCTGCTAATTTGTCTTGCTCCCAGGTAATCTCTTTGGGATAGCAGGAAAAATGACACAGGAAGAACAAGAAAAGTGGCTGGTAGAGTAAACAAAGTTCTTCTTGTGGGAAGTAGATCAGGCTACAGAAGCTAACAGGAGTAGCTGGGGGCTATGAAATGCAGGGATCCAGGCATTGCCTGATTGCTGAGGGGAAAAACATAGTCAGCTCATGCTGTATAACAAAATAATCCAGAATGGGATGCTAAACCACAGAATTTCTTCTCAGGTTTCTCTTTAGAGGCTGAAAGTCTGAGTCCCCACATTGTGTATGATCTCCTCTTCCTCCTCTTCTAGGGCTATTCCTATCAGATTAGGCCACACTTTCATGAACAGACACCATCATATCGGAGGTAAAAGCTTCATGTAAATTTGGCAAGCAAACAGTTGAGCCCGTAGTAGTAGCAAACCTCAGGCTGACTCAATCCTAGCTGTGTGATCCAGAGCATTGAAGACTATTAATGAGAATCCCAGGTACAGGTAGGGAAAATAGTAGAACTACACATAACAGTGCTGAAGATACAAGCCTTATTTGAATGAATGGACAGAGGGCAAGGCTCCTTGGTAGAAATGTCTTACTGATTCATGCCATCTCAGGAATCATATGATTTCCTTTATATAAAACCCTAGATGTACAATGACATAAAGAACAATCATAAAGTGGTTGCGGAGAAGTAGAGGAATGGATTAAACGGGGTTATGAAGAAACCTTTATGGATGACACATTTATTATTTTAAGTGGGGTGATGATTTCACATCTGTATATACATGCTAAATCTGTTAGAGTTGACAAATCAAATGTAGCATTGTATGTTTACCACACTTGAACAGAGCTCTTATAGTGTTCAGCAACTTGCTTTTTCTTAAAAGGTAGTTATATTTAGCTACAGTTCAAAGCGAGCCTGGGCAAAAAAACTGTGTGACTCTTATTTATAATTAACCAGCAAAAAGCTGTAAGTGGAGGTGTGACTCAAGTGGTAGAGTGCTAGCTTTGAACAAAAAAATGGTAAGGGATAGGTCTATGCCCAGAGTTCAGCCCTAGTACTGTACTGGTTTGTACATGCACACACACATGTCGGGAGCCAAAAGTTGAGTCTCTCAACAGAATAGGCTTGACTATCTCACTGGAACATCTTGAGGTTGAGTTTACAGAATCCTACCCTCATCCTGCCCTAAGCAAACATCCTGCAGCTGCTAACGACCACCCTTTCCCCCTGCCCTAAGCAAACATCCTGCACTGCTACGGCCAATGAAAAAGCTTCCT